TGTTGCACCACCATGTAGCACCACCATGTAGCACCACCATGTTGCACTACCATGTAACACCACAATGTTGCACCACCATGTAGCACCACCATGTAGCACCACAAGACTGGCTCCCTCCACTCACAAAACAACTAGAATACAACAAAAGTCAACAGAGGGCAGAAAAAATGAATAAACTGTTTAAAACCAGTCGCCTGGTCTCAGCTGAATGCGAGTTCAACCTGAGTCGATCCAAACCGAGTTGATTAGCTTAGCTTGGCACACCAGTGTAGAACCTCACAGCAGCGATTCCCGTAACTCAGAACACTTGATTGATGATCTTAGGCTTTGCGTGAGTTAGCGGTTAGCACAGCACCATCGGGTCAGGTACCTCACAGCAGTCCTGGTCAAATTCAAGCAATCCAAAGAGATCCGGATAAAAATCCGGTTGGAATCCAGAGAAAAACACCGGAGCTTCAAGCAACGTCTCCTCCGCTCGAGAGGCGACCTGACCAGCAAGAAGTGTTTGGAATGATCGATGAGGCTGGAAGTGGTCCTAGTCCCAACATTCCCGGAAGGTTCTGTACGGCTCTCTGCGTCCACTGTGCACCAAAACCACTTTGAAGAGGAACCAAACGTTTGTCTGGTTCGACTCGGGTCAGTTTGGTGTTACGAGGACTGCAGAGAAGAACTCTGGGACTCCGTCAGAACTCCGTTTCTGGATGTGTGAAGATTAACCAGCAATACAGAAAAGTTATAAAAAGGTTCATTCAGGCAGTGAAAACTTGGCACAAAAAGCTGCAGATGCTCTGGTCATGTTGTCCTGGATTCATAATTAGTGTTGGTTACTGCAGAATTTCTGTACGGTGATAATATTTTCTGTTTGTGATCAGAATGATGTCCTCTGGTCGATGTCCCCAAAACCCATTGAAGAGGACGGTGGTTGTTTTGAAATGTTTTCATGGAAAATGCCAAAAGCAGATGAGGAAACCAACCCAGCTTTGACGTTTGTGTTTGTCTGCAGGGTCCATGGGGACGGGAGGCAGAGTCTGCAACAGGACGTCCCGCAGCGTGGACGGCTGCGAGCTGATGTGCTGCGGACGAGGCTACGACACGTCGCGCGTCAGCCGCACCGTCAAGTGTGAATGCAAGTTCCACTGGTGCTGCGCCGTCCACTGCCGGGACTGCCAGCAGCAGGTGGACCTGCACACCTGCAAGGGTCAGACGTGACCTGGACACCAAGGAGCACAGCCAGAGACTGGCTGGGACAATAGCAGAGGACGTTCAGTGCTAGGCTCTTCTTCTGCTCCAGGATCAGCTGTGAGTCTGACAGGAGGAAGAACTTTCAGCCATCGGCTTCTTGCTGCTCGTCCAAACAACAAGAAGGTTATGTCAGCGTGGGGACCTCCTTCAGTCTTGATTTTAAAAACATCTTCATATAGCTGTTCAAATGGACCACACGCTGACAAAGCTGAGACGTAGAGAAGAAATGAGAAAATACACTCATCGTTGATGTCCATCTTTACCCACTTCTTCCTTTTTGGGTTGCTGGTGCCCATGTCCAGCAGTCACTGTGTGGGGACACCATGGACAGGTTTCCAGTCCAACACAGGGACACCATGGACAGGTCTCCAGTCCAACACAGGGACACATAGAGACAAACGAGACAGCCATTCTCTCTCTCTCTCTCTCACCTAGGGACAATTTAGAGTTACCATCAGCCTAACATGCATGTTTTTGGTCTGTGGGAGGAAACTGGAGTTCCTGGAGAAAACCCACTTAGCACAGAGAGAACATGCAAACTCCACCCAGAAAGGTCCTGGGCCGGGATTTGAACCGGCAACCTTCTCACTGTGAGGTGGCAGCTCTACCAACTGTACCACCATCACTGACGAGAATATCATAAAAATCTTTAACTCTTGTGTCGTCCTTTAACTTTATGATCATTAATTTATTTTAGGGGAAAAATCCACCACTTTACACATCTTCTTAAAAATATTTCTCTTTTTCCTACAAAATACTGTTCAGTCTTTCAGAGCCATCTCAGCCTGAAATCAAAGTACCACATTTAAATCCAAAAAAGTTCAATCTGGTCCTCTGGACATTCAAGAACACAAAAAACAAAGCAAAAAATATATATATGTAGAAACGTTTCGTCTCTCATCCTGAGGACTTCCTCAGTCTGAGGTGCTGTATTCAGCTCAGTCTCTTAAATAGCACCTTCTCAGAGTGGATCAACCAGTTTTGCTGCTGACAACCAGAACCAGCTGATCACATGCTCAAGAAGGACCATCAGCCTAACAATGGATCATTAGCACCTGATGGCTGTTTACTGTTCACAGAGGGCTGAGTGATACTAGCAATCACAGCATTGTAAGAGGGGGACAATTTTTTTTGGCTTTGTGTTGTTTTTTTTGAATGTCCAGAGGACCAGACTGAACTTTTTTGGATTTTTCTACCTGGATTATTGAGCAGCATCAGGATACCACATTTAAAGTTTTTGCTCTTTAAATCCAAACTAAATTTAACTTGAGGTTATTTGAGAAAACTCTGACAAAAAAAATAAATAAATAACGTAGGGTTTGTCCGAAAAAAATTGGGTTCATTGATTGCACCAATAAATATATAATAAAAAACAGTTAATTTTAATGATTTCTTTGAACTGTTCTTTTTGTAAAAGAGATACAAACTGTTCTTGCAATGATGTGTGAAAACAAGTTTG